ACTTTACATGTTCTGTTATAGGGAACGCAGCTTCCCATACATAGTTCGTTAAAAGTCATCTCAGGAAACAGTTTTTTAGAGACGGGTAAACAGAGGGCAAACCTTTATTCATGCCTGGTTTAAACCAGTATATAACATTTTTAAAAGAACAATTATTTAACCAAAGAGGAGATAACTCTTATAATGAAGATGCTTCACTTCTGAGCCTCGTCATACATGATTTGAGTGATGCCAAAATCTTAAGCAGATGGTAACGTATACATGAAGAAAGAAGAAACTTAAAAATATGAATATATAACAGTTTTCAAATAAATTCGAAGTTCAGAATGAAATTAACCAAGGAAATCCGGGCACTAGATTTATACATCTACTCCGAATGATTTAGGTGTTGATAATGAACATATATTCGAAATTTGAAGTAAATCGACGGAGAAATAAGAAAATTGTAGAACAAATAAGGAAAATTCAAAATTTAATGGGGAGATCATTCTGGATATATGGACGCTAGATTGATGAAGCTTGTCATATTATTATGATATGGCAGTTAAATCGTTTAAAAAATCAAGAAGTTTGAGTAAAAAAATCATATTTCTAGAAACAAAATCTAAGTTCAAGGGGGGCATTCTGGAAATGGTCAGGCTAGAGTATTGAATCTTCTCACACATGATCTAAGTAACAAAAAGTAACATATACTTGAAGTTTGAAGAAAAAAAGAAAGAAAGAAAGAAAGAAAGAAAGAAAGAAAGAAAAAATAAAGAAAAAAGAAAGAAAGAAAGAAAAAGAAAGAAAGAAGAAATGTGAGTGATGATAAGAAAGATATTTATGAAATTTGAAGTAGAAACATTTAGAAATGAAGAAGTAAAACAAAGAACAATATTGCTTTTATGAAAGTTGTAAGTTTAAGGAGGTTATTCTGATAGGTTTGCTGCTAAATTATGATCCTTGTCACATATGATGTTGAAAATAAGAAACATATATTTCAAGTTTAAAGTCAATACCTTGAGAAATAAAGAAGTTATAGTGAAACACAGATTTTACTGAGTAACTAGAACTGGCTTGTGAACAATACAGTTTAGGAGAAATGGCCAGGACAAGAATGAAATATAAAAATTAACAAAGGGCAAAAAACTAAAAAGTTTCTGTGCACTGCACTTCTTATCAATAAGATATATCATCCTATGAAGTTTCAAGTCCATAGCTTTTATAATTTATGAAAATGGCCTGGACAAAAATAAAGTATGAAAATTAATAAAGGGTAATTACTCAAAAATAAGAAGAGCAGAGTACCGGTTATTGTCAACTGCACTTATTCTTAATGAGATCTATCATCCTATGAAGTTTAAAGACCATAGCTTTTATACTTTAGGAGAAATGGCCTGGACAAAAATAAAGTATGAAAATAAACAAAGGGCAATAACTCAAAAATAAGAAATGCAGAGTACCGGTTCTTGAGCATTGCACTTCTTCTTAATGAGATATATCATCCTATGAAGTTGCATGTCCAAAGCTTTTATGCTTTAGGAGGAATGGCCCGGACAAAAAAAAGTATGAAAATTAACAAAGGGCAATCATCCAAAAATAAAGAAATGCAGAGTAACGGTTCTTGTGCACTGCACTTTTTCTTAATGGGGTCTATCATCCTATGAAGTTTCATAACTATAGCTTTTATACTTTAGGAGAAATGGCCTGGACAAAAATAAAGTATGAAAATTAACAAAGGGCAATAACTCATAAATTAACTATGCAGATTACGGGTTCTTTTGCACTGCACTTTTTCTTAATGAGATCTATCATCCTATGAATTTTTTTTTCATGTCCATAGCTTTTATACTTTAGGAGAAATGGCCCGGTCAAAAATAAAGTATGAAAATTAACAAAGGGCAATAACTCAAAAAATAAGAAATGCAGAGTACAGGTTTTTGTGCACTTCTTCTTAATGTGATCTATCATCCTATGAAGTTTCAAGTCAATAGCTTTTATACTTTAGGAGAAATGGCCCGGTCAGAAAAAAAGTATGAAAATTAACAAAGGGCAATAACTCGAAAAAATAAGAAATGCAGAGTACCGGTTCTTGTGCACTGCACTTCTTTTTAATGAGATCTATCATCCTATGAACTTTCAAGTCAATAGCTTATATACGTTAGGAAAAATGGCCCGGGCAAAAATAAAGTATGAACATTAACAAAGGGCAATAACTCAAAAATGTAGAAAACCGGTTCTTGTGCACTGCATTTCGGGTCATTATAAGAAGCATGCATACCAAGTTTTAAGACAATCCGACTTATAATGACTGACTTATGTTCCGGACAAGCTAAAGGGGACGCCGACAACGACGTCGACACTGCCGACAAAAGTAACCCCTATATCTAGCCTTTTTCAAGGCGACACAAAACTGTAAAAATCAGGACGCGGTGGCCGACGCTTGATGAGTAGGACACATCTCAATATACTCCCCAGAGTCAAGCTAAAATGATGTGCATACTCTCTATACTGTCATCTATTCATATTGTAAGTTTCATTAAAACATTTTCATTATTTTGAGTCTATTTGTTGCCATAACAACCAATTCCTTTCAACATAAGAAGAAGAAAACGAGACAGATTTTCTCCAGACTGCCATCTACCATATTTTAAGTAAATAAAATAATTTTTATACATTTGCTTTATCAAAGATCCAGATTTGTGAACGGACAGTATTGTAAATTTTAACCAAAAGAAAGAAAAATCGAACTCTTCTAGAAAATTATCCATGCGGACGGCACTTACGAAACAAATTTTTGTTTGCCATTGTTGTATTTTTTGGTACACATGCGTTTCTGTTGGTTTTCTTTTACGAAAATAATTCATTATGTCAAAAGTTAGCAACCAACAGTGCCTTGAAACCGTCTGATTATTCATGCCGGCGTCTAAGGCCTTTCACAACTTTTGTTTTGCGGGGTTTGTCAATGAAATTACATCACATAAGTACACTCAAGGGTGATCCTTCATTTATGTACATAATTCTCAAATAAGACAAAGATTTTATGTAAATAATAAATGAGAAAATATTTCCTGTTAAAAGGGGTTATATGGTTAATTATTAAGTGTAAAACGTTGACAGTTCATTTCAATGCTTTTAACAAGCATGTTTAAGACAGAAGACAGAAAGAAACCGTTCCGTTTTGTTGTAATTATTAAAGATCCTGTATGTAACAAGCAATTATCATAGTATTGCAAGCAATCCATAAGTCCCCTACCGGTTAGAACATTCTGATGGGCCATTGGCCATTCAATTTTACCAGTGAATGAATGACATGAATGAATTAAATCTTTTGAGTTCTAAGTTTGTCTATATCACAGTAATGTGTTAAGTTTCCGTGCCTAGTAGGGAAATGTTTATACAACCTTGTCATATTATTATGATGTGGGATTTTAAAGTTAATCCTATAAGGAATGAAGAAGTTGGAGTAAAAAATACCAATTTCTTGAAAAAAAATCTAAGTTCAAGGGGGACATAATTCTGGAAATAGTCTTGCTAGAGTATTTAACCTCCTCAAAAATGTTGAGTGATAATAAGAAACATATATATGAAGTTTGAAGTAGATACATTAGGAAATAAAGAAGTTATTTAAAAAAAGACAACATTTTTTTTCATAAAAATTCTTAGTACAAGGGAGGTAATACTGATAATTTGTGTGCTAGAGTTGTGAACCTTGTCACATATGATGTGGTTGATGACCAGAAACTTATATTTAAAGTTTGAGGTAAATAAAGAACTTATAGTGAAAAAGCAAAAATTGAGTTATCACTGGATCCAGTTTATGTGTTAAATTTGCCATATTTTCAGACTATTTGTTGCCATTATAGCAACCAGAATTTCCCACATAGGAAAAAAAAATATTTTTAGTACTTTTTGCGTTATCGCGGGATCCAGTTTTGTGGACGGACGGACGGACTGACGGACTGACAGGCAGACAGACGGACAGACGGACGGAGGGTAAACCTAAAGTCCCCTCCGGTTAAACCGGTAGGGGACTAATAAATAAGGTTGTTACCACACTAAAGTGAAATTTTATATATGTATATAATAATGCTTCTTAAACGATTTTCAAACAGCGAAGAATATGTAAAATATGTACTGCAAATATTTGTCCACATTATATGTTATCATTACAATATATGCATTCATTCGGATTGAAAAAAAAACGTCTTAGACATTATAGGAAATAGATTTCAAATTACCTCCCTTTATTAACATGAAATGGAAATTTGGTAATATATTTACAAATAATGATTTTTGGAACTTACAATATTGATAAATCTTCATTTGAGCATTATATTTATGATACAAAACCAAATGAAATGAGTTAAAATTTTAAAATCTTTAAAATTATTAAATAGTTATTTATCACTCGTATCATCCACGGGAATGATTGATGTGCATGCATCGTTTGACAAATTACACACAAGTTTCGGGTACATTGATATATACTGCGGCACATTTTCAGATTTTCTTGAAGTTGTTTGTGACTAAAAAACCTAGAAATATTGTAGATTTACATTTAATATTTACTGCAAGATATTAAATTTGTTATATTTGCAGTGGAAGGAATCGATTATATAATCTTCGAAAGAGACAATTTTCGTTTTTCTTAAATACTGTTATATTGGTTATATTTCTGGCAAAGGCAATGGTCTGGAAACGGAATTATCTACCATATTAAACGGACAAGCATAGATTTATGAAGTTTGTCAAAGCAATTTACGAAAATATTTACGAAAAATAAACGAGTTGATAGTTATCGCGAATTGGAAACGTCAGGATCTTAACGCTAAAGAAGAACATGTTTGTATTCATTGATTTATAGAATGATTGCTGTTGACATGGAAACTTTTAACCCAAAAAAGTTTCATAGTATTTGTTAGTATTCTAGTATATTCTTTTCCCAGCCTTTCAAAATATATCTCAATAATGTAGAATTCATTAAACAATAAAATATTTAAGCTTAAAAAGTAACAAACCTGTCCTTTGCCTTCTTTTGGTCTCATCAAAGTTTCTCTTCAAATCAGTTACATTTTCCTTTATGTCTTCAATGTCTCTCTTCATTGCAGTATCATTTTCTTTTGCGTCTTCGAAGTCTTTTTTCACTTCAATTACATTTTCCTTTATGCTTTCAAGGTTTCTCTTCACTGCAGTATCATTTTCTTTTATGTCTTCTAGGCCTTTTGTCACGTTAGTAACATTTGCCTTTATGTCTTCAAGGTCTCTCTTCACTGCAGTATCATTTTCTTTTACATCTTCTAGGTTTTTCTTCACATCAGTTACATTTGCCTTCACGTCTTTAAAGTCTTTCTTCACTTCAGTTACTTTTTGCTTTATGTCTTGAAGGTCTTTGTTCACTGCAGTATTATTTTCTTTTATGTCTTCTAGGTCTTTTTTCACGTCAGTTACATTTACCTTTACGTCTTCAAGGTCTTCCTTCGCGTCAGTTACATTTTCTTTCATGACTGTCATTTCCTGTTTCAAACGGTCAACATCGTCTTCATAGTCCTTCCACTTTTTTATTTCTTTCTGTATCCTTCTCTCTTCTTCCAGATCAAGAGGGCAAGTTTTGAATTCGGCAATTGTTTGCTGAATATTCAAAGCTGAAGTACTACGACGAACAAGTATCTAAAACCGGAATTAAATAACAACTTTATCATTTAAGTTTGGATGTTGATCTTTTTTAAGTGTTTATCGAATATTTTATCTGTTTATAAAAATATTATACATGAAAAACAAAATTTGCTGAACAAGAGTCATAATGGCTCTACTTATTATAAAGGCTCTTGATGACAAGGGACAATTAATACTGTTTACTATCAATGAAAAACAGATATTAAGTCTTTATCTTTTACTGATATCACTTAGGTCTTATTTGCATCGAAATCATGCAAAAGTTAACAAGAGGGCCATGATGGCCCTGAAATCGCTCACCTCTGTATAGGCCCTTAGGACAGGTCTTATTTAAACCCAGAGGCTTTTTTTTTAACCAACTTGGTAGACACATTAGAAGATGTTTCATGATAAATATCTAAGCTCTAGCTCTTTGGGATTTTTAAAAGATTTATTAAGGTTTTACTTTAGACATATAAGGAAAATCAGACCCCCGGCGGGCCCAATTTAACCCTGGGTCTTTTATTTGAACAAATTTGGTAGACACTCACTAGATGATGTTTCATGCTTAATATCTAAGATTTAACTTTATGGGTTATTTAAAAGAATATATTTTTAAGTTTTTACAATATACATATAAGGAAAATCAGTGTCCCCGGGCGGGGTCAATTTTGATCCCAGGGCTTTTATTTTAACAAACTTGGTAGACACTCGCCAGAAGATGTTTCATGCTTAATATCTGAGCTCTAACTCTTTCGTTTTTTTTTTAAAGAAGATTTTTTAAGTTTTTACTATATACATGTTAAGAAAAGCAATGACCCCCTGGGGCGGAGCCATTTTTAACCCCATGGCTTTTATTTGAACAAACTTGATAGACACTCACTAGAAGATGTTTCATGCCAAATTTCTAAGCTCAAACTTTTTGGGTTTTTTAAAAGAAGATATGTTAAGTTTTTTTCTTTTGGTTGCCATGGCAACCAGAATTCTGCATTGAATTAAATTCTTTGAACAATTTTTAAAGGAGACCACCAAAGGACCATTCCTGTGAAGTTTGGATGAAATTGGCTTAGCGGTTTATTAGAAAATGTCGTTTAAAGTAAAAGTTTACGGATGACGGACGGACGGACGCCGGACGAAAAGTGGTCACAAACACGTTTACGGGTTGCTATTGCTGAGAAAAATCATTAGTTGTTGAAGAATTCACTGGTGGCTATACAAAACTATTGGTGTCTTTGGAAGTATGGTTTCTATGAAAGTCAATTTTTGATTCCTCCATTAAAAATCAATAATTTCTATGGAAAGTTAATGGTAGCTAAGAAATAAAATGGTTCCTATGGAGACATGGAAAGTTACTGTATGCTATGAGAAACAATGAATGCAATGGGAGTCAATGGCTTCTATAGAAGTGACATGTTGATAAAATAAATTCCTTTGTTCTTTGAAATCACTGCTTACTTAATTTTACATCAATAATTGAAGAAAATTACTTGTTGCTAATAAACACAAGATTTTTTAAGGAAAAAGAATGGCAAATGTGGAATTGGCTTTTTTTTCTGGGGAATATAAATGGTCGTTTTTCAAGCCCCAGTAAGGAAAATCCATGACCCCCGAGGCGTGACAAGTTTAACACCAGTGACGTCTTCTAAACTATATTTCCTGTAAAATATCTAGTAAGCTATCTCATTGACACACTCAAAGAACCAGAAAACCTAAAAATTGTAAAGCACTGAATGTACCGGGAACATGAAATATTTAATCACTGAATGTACTGGAAAACCTGAAAATTTGAAAGCACTGTAATTACTAGAAACATCAAAATTTGGCATTGAAAGTACTAAAAACCTGAAAATAGTGAAGAACTCAAAGTATTGCACAACCTAAAAACTGTGACGCATTGTAGATACTGGAAACCCTTAAATTGTGTGTTTTTTTTAATTACTTGAATCATAAAAATCGGGAAGCACTGAATGAACGGGAAACCTGAAAATTGTATAACACTAAATTGATAAATTACCGAAAATTGTGACGTACTGAAATAATTGGTACTTGAAAATTATGAAGGACAGGAATCACTGATACTTGTAAATTGTAACGCACTGAAAAAACTGTATATCGAAAATTAGTCAAACCTGAAAGTTGTGAAACACTAAAGGTACTTGACACCTGAAAATCGTGAAACACTAAAAGCACTAGACATTTAATAATCGTGACGCACTTAAAGTACTGATACTTAAAAATTGCTATACATTGAAAGTACTTGACACCTGAAAATATTGAAGCACTGAAAGTTCTTGACACCTGAAAATGTGACGCACTGAAAGTACTTGACACTGAAAATCGAGAAATACTGAAAGTGCTTGACACCTGAAAATTGTGAAGCACTGAATGCACTTGGCACCCGAAAATTGTGACGCTCTTAAAGTACTGATACTTGAAAGTGTCAATGTTGTTTTGTTTGTCTAAATACACCAAGCTTTCGCAGAGATAAGTCAACATAATTCACATTGTGTTGGAGTTATCCAAAATTTACCCAAAAAAATTTCCAATTAAATGATCTTAAACGTGAACGTACATTCTAAAATATAAAATTTTAAATTCCAAAATAGATCAAATTGGATATTTTGACAGAAATCAACTCAGACTGGTAAGCTCAAAATTGTATTTTGCTTTTTTGCTTTGCTTTTTATCTCAATATCTAGTCGTTTTACACGGTTAGAATATTTGTTCCGGAAGCAACGGAGACCTACTTCAAACGGAACAATAGTCTGAAAAATTATTTCCAGTCCCGTCATGTCTAAAAGCCTCAATGGTTTCCCTTAAATAGAGCGAGAAGTTCTGTAAATAATTTCAATACTCATATGTCTCCATGGGGAAATTGGCTCGTTTGAAATTCTTTGCTTGTTTTTACGTACATGTAGCGTCAAACATGTATACGTATAAATGTTTGACGCTACATATTTATATGGATTATGATGTTATATGATTCATTAAATTTGAATTTAATATCCAATTAAATGTTGACATTTTTTAAGAAAACATTATTTACCGTATATTATACTATTTCTTCATTTAAAAATAGATTGAAAGATTACAAAGATAACAATAATTCTATGAAAGGGAAATGTGCTCACCAGTTCAATATCATTCCACCAAGCTGTAAACTCATTTTGTTGTATTGCAGTCGTTGTTGATATATGACTTATCTGAAATAAAAAAACAATATGATTCACCTGAAATATGAGCTCAAATTACCGAATCAAAAGTAACAAAAGCTAGCCCCACCCTTCCTCCCGACTCCAGACCACCCTACCATAACCAACCAACCAACAACAACACAAACTATTTTGTCAAGGGAGACATTGATAATTTGATAATTTTCAATATGAAAGTAAGGTACATGTGTTGTTCACATAGATTTAAGACCCATTTTACGTCCACAGTAATAAGAACGATGGAATGTAAATTATGCCAAATTTGTTTATACGTGTATTTAGTTATACAGGTTTTGATTTCGACAAAATGTAGGGTATAAATGTTACAGTTTGCAGTTTTACACGTCCATACCACCAGGAACTAAATCACTCAAAACATCTCGGATTGTTTCAAGACTGCAGTAGTATCTCTTATTATTTCATGACGGCAGTAAAGCTCCGATTGTTTCTTGGTGGCAGTAGAACCTTACATTAGTTCAAAACGACATCAAAAGCTCGGATGTTTCCAGACTGCAGTAAATGTTTTGATTGTCACATGGCGGAAGTGAAATCCTGGATGGTTTCAAGACTGCAGTAATATCTCAGATAATTTCATGTAGGCAGTATTATATCCTGATTTATTTCCTGACGGTAAAAAAATCTAGGATTGTTTAATGACAGCAGTAATATCACGGATTATTTCATGACAACAGTAATACCTCAGTATTATCTATTATTATTTTATGAGTGCAATATTATCTCGGACTGTTTCATGACGCAGTGTTATCTCAGATTGTTTCATAGCGGCCGATTTATCTCGGACTGTTTCATTGTCACAAAGTAAACCATTTCGTAAATGCTCAGAAGTGCTTTCAGTACTTTGATTTTTACATAATGCGTAAATGTTTAGAAATGCTTTCAGTACTTTGATTTTTGTAGTATTCTATTTTCATGCCGAACCTCCGTTTATACTAAATCCAATGTAATCTATTGTATTATCTTTTTGTAAAATTCAGAGTTATCGAGTGAAAAAATTTTTATTTCAGTATTTTTATTTATTGCTTAAATTTCTTGGTATCATTCCAAGCATTTTTATATATCTTTCATAAAAATTGGTCCAGTAATAAAAAAGTTAGATTTTTGTGATAAAGTGCAAATTTATTTATGGTATATAAGTTTCATATACGGGCCTGTATATTTTGTTACACATGCGTTCTGGTATGCAAGAAAATCGTGAACGTTATGTTTCACGTCTCCACTCAGGGTAATTATGCCTATATAATGAACGTATTTTAAATCTTCTGGGGGACTCGCATATATATGTATAAAGACGCACAAGGTCATTATGACCGACAGATATATTCTTGTTGTGTAAATTTTTAGGTTTGCGTAAGGTAAGTTTTTCTTTTCTTGTTGTTTTATTTAGTAAATTTTTCTTATTTCAGAAGATCGTAATTCAGTTAAATTTTTCATTACATATTCGTTTTATAGAAATTTTATTTTGCATTTTGACAGTAATTTTTCGTTCTCTTCTGTAGATTTATGACCTTAGTGTTTCATTCATTCCTTGAATATTGGTAATCTGTTTATTATCATTAATAGTTGTTGATAGTTGTTGTATGTATGCAAGGCCGTTAACGCATTGAGTGCACGTTATTTTATGATGCATGTGTTTCATTCATATTTACTAAAATAATTTTTCTTGTTCCTGTTTAATACAGTAAAAGTCCTTTATAAATAAGTCTGCTGCAGATGTTCTTTTTAAATAATTCTTATTTCTTTAAGTAATTTTCATATCACTTCATCATCATTATTGTTTTGTACGAAATAATATGGATTTGATTCAAGGAAGGATTTCGTCGATATTTAGGTGGCACCCGGTCTGACTTTATGTTTTTTATTTTACAACGTGCTACGATATATAATTAACGTTGAATTTATTATACCAGTGTGTATGGCGTTTCATAAGGGACATTATATTTTTTAGAAGCTTTGTTTATAGGAATTCGACAAAGGTCCGGCTATTCGAAAGGGACATACTTATACCTCATATTTGTGTACCATGGATATTTACCATGTTTTATATTTTGTAGCTTCTACTCGGAGGATTCACCCTCAATTTTGAATTATGTGTTCAACATAGCGACGATAGTAGAGATTATGACGTAGCGACGCAGTCTTGGATCTACACTCTCTAGATAGTACAGAATCGATCTTTCTGCTTTGAATGGGTCACATCTGGGGAATGTGACGTAGAGACCCCCACATCCACAGTCTTGGATCTACACTCTGTAGACAGTACAGAATCGATCTTTCTGCCTTGAATGAGTCACATCTCGAGCATCAGTGAGTATTTGTTTTGAGTTACGCCACCGGGAAAAAGTGCTTTTAGACAGGACATTAGAAACGTGACACGGAACTTTTATTTTTTTTTTATTCATTCATTCATACCATTTACTTTCATTATAAATAATCATTTGTTTTTGTAAATTAAATGTTAAATAGTTTGTACTGAGTTGTGCTTTGTTTTGTTTGGTAGTTGTGATCAGCCTGTTTTCCATCGTAATCCATATTGTGACATTCATGACGTCAATAATATCTCGGATTATTTCATAACAACAGTTATTTCCCGGATTATTTCATAACGAAAGTAATATCTCAAATTATTTAATGACTGCAGTATTATCGCGGATTATTTCATGTTGGCACTAATATCTAAGATTGTTTCATGACGACAATATAATCTCGGATTGTTTTATGACGATAGTAATATTTCGGATTATTTCACGAATGCAGGAATATCTCGGATTATTTCATGTAGGCAGTAATATCTCATATTTTTTCAAATCTGTAGTTATATCCAGATGTATTTCATGACGGTAGTAAAATCTCGGATTGTTTCATGACGGCAGTAATATCTCGGATTATTTCATGACAAAAGTTATATGTTGGATAATTTCATAACGGCAGTATTATCTTGGATTATTTAATGACTGCAGTATTATCTCGGATTGTTTCATGATATAGTATTATCACGGATTGTTTTTTAGCGTCCGTATTATCTCGGATTGTTTCATGTCATCAGTATTATCTCGCATTGTTTCATCGCGGCTGTATTATCTCGGACTATTCCATGGTTGCAGTATTATCTTTATTTTGTTTTATGACGGCAGTATTATCTCGGATTGTCTCAAACCGACATTATTATCTCGGACTATTTCATTGCAGCAGTATTATTTTTATTTTTGTTTCATGACGGCAGTATTATTTCGCATTGTTTCTTAGTGGCAGTTTTAACTCGGATTGTTTTATGACGGCTGTTTCACCTTGGATTATTTTTATGATAATAGTAATATCTTTGCATATTTGATGAAAGTGATAACACCACGTATTATGTCGTGATGGATTATTTCATGACATTAATAAAACCCCGGAATTTTCATGACAGTAATGATAACTCGGAAATTTTCATTCGGAATGTTAGATAAAAAAATATTCATGTTAACGGCAGTATTATCTTTGATTTTTTCATGTTTGCAGCATTTTCCATGATTGTTTCATGAGGGAAGTATTATCTCGGAATGTTTCCATTACATCAGTCTCAGGTCGGATTGTTATCTTGCCGGGTGAATTATCTAGGATTGTTTTATGACAGCAGTATTGTCTCTCATTGTTTCATAAGGGAAGTATTATCTTTGAATACTTCATGGCTCCAGTATTATCTTGGAATGTTTCCATGACATCAGTTTCAGATCAGATTGTTTTCTTGGCGGCTGAATTATCTAATATTGTTTTATGACAGCAATATTATCCCGGATGGTTTCATATGGGAAGTATTATCTCGGATTGTGTCATGACGGCAGTAATTTCGGATTGTTTCATGACGGCAGTTTAAGCTCGGATTCTTTCATGACTGCAGTAAAAATTCGGATTGTTTCATGACGGCAGTATAAATAATTGAGAGTATTACATAGCGACATTTTAAGCTAAGATTGTTACATGATGACAGGAATATCTAATGATTAATTTTGACTGCAGTATTTACATGGATTGTTTCTTTACAGCAGTATTATCACAGACTTTTTGATGTCAGCAGTTTTATCGTCAACTGTTTCATGACTGCACTAATATCGCGGATTGTTACATGGCGGCATTATTATCTCCGACTGTTTCATTGCAGAAATATTATCTAGGATTGTTTTATGACGGCAGTGATATTTGGAAAGGTTTCATGACGGCAGTATTAGCTTGGATTATTTTCTTGACGGTAGTTTTATCTCGGATTGTTTCATGAGGACAATAATATCTCAGAGTATTTCATAGCGGCAGTATTATCTCGGATCGTTTCATGACGGTAGTTACGATGTATATTTCGGATTATTTCATGACGGCAGTATTATCTCGGATTGTTTTTATATAGGTAGTAATTTACCGGATGGTTTAATGAAGGCAATATTATCTCAGATTGTTTCTTGACGACAGTATTATCTCTGATTGTTTCATGACGGCAGTATTATCTCAATTCGTTTTATGACTGCAGTATTATCTCGGATTGTTTCTTGCCGGCAGTACTATCTCTGATTGTTACATGACAGAAGAATTATCTCGGATCGTTTAATGACAGCACTATTATCACCATTTGTTAAATGACAGCAGTATTATCTCTGATTGTTTCATGACGGCAGTATTATCTCAGATTGTTTCATGATGGCAGTATTGGCTCGGACTGATTCATGACGGCAGTATTTTCTCCTTTTGTTTTATGACTGCAGTATTATCTCGGATTGTTTCATGACGGCACTTTTATCTCTATTTTTAATGACGGCTGTTTTATCTCGGATAGTTAGTTCCTTGGCGGCATTATTATCTCTGATTGTTTCATGACGGCAGTATTATCTCGGATTCTTTCTTGGGGACAGTTTTTACTCGGATTTATTTATGAAGGCAGTTTTATCTTGGATTATTTTGATGATATTAGTAATATCTTAGCAGATTTGATGATAGTAATAACA